GTGCTTTTCCTGTTAAACAGTTTACTCCAGTACTGATGATGATGATGATGATGATAATAAAGTGCGTTTGATCTGGTGAGTGTCTTATTTGCATTATCTGATTGTTAGCCATTAGCAGACGGCGCCTCAGATCCCTCACCCCACGACTCCACCTCCTCGTCTTCTGATTGGCCGGACGAGAGCGGAGATGAGGACGAGAGCGTATCATCTGGTCCTGCCCACAAAACACACGCGAACCTCACGTTCAGGAGAGCACAGCACTATGCGCACACACTGTCCTACCCTGAGTGAGTACACACTAATGCTGGACGATATAACGATACGATGTCGATATTGTGATCAAGTATGTTACATTACGCTGTTCTGAGATATCATGAGAGCTTTTCATTACATTATTACATTTTCTCTGAATAGAAGCAGCTGTTATCTGTTTGACTTTTGTACTTTTTGTATGTTTTAACTTTTTAAAGATTGTTTTCAACATCATCAAACAGATTTTCTTCTTTTTTTTAAAATTAAATGCACCCCCTACTGTTTTCCTGGAAGTTTCTTCACAAACCTATATATAGTGTATCGTAGAAATGCATTCAAGTGTCTTTATATGATTTTTTCGTCATCGCACAACCCTAATATACACACTAACAGAATATACCATACAGTATGGATGGAGCTGTGTCTGAAGGTGTCTAATTGTGTGTGTGTGTGTGTGTGTGTGTTTGTTAGTGATGAGAGGAGACTCAGTCTGCTGTGTGTGACGCTGCAGAACCTTCATCAACATATGGCTCAGTTACAGAAGGAACAGTGGGGAGTAGGTTAAGTGCACATACACGCAGATTATATACATTAAGTCATAAACACACATTCACTATAAACTAATTTATTCTTCAAGTTTTTCCTCTTCTTCTTCTTCTTCTTATTATTATTTCAGATTTTCTTCCAGATTGTACAAGCTCTGTTCAGCACAGAAGATCGACTACTACAGCAGCAAGAGGAGGTGTGTATCTTTGTATGTAATTTTCGCCAGGGACACTGAGGACATGTCCCCATCTCATTTTGTAGTGTGTAAAATTGTATGCACATATATGTGGCCAAACGTTTAGTCCCCCGTCTGCTGTTGTAATAACCTCCACTCTTCTGGGAAGGCTTTCCACTGGATTTTGGCGTGTGTCTGTGGGGGTTTGTGCTCATTCGGCCAGGTCTGAGGTGCAGTCAGCGTTCCAGTTCATCCATAAGGTGTTAAGTTCGGTTGAGGTCAGGGCTCTGTTAGAGCAGGCCGCTTGAGTTCTGGCAAACCATGTCTTCATAGACCTCACTTTGTGCACAGATGCATTGTCATGCTGGAACAGGTTTGAGCCTCTTAGTTCCAGTGAAGGGAAATTGTAATGTTGCAGCATAAAAATACATTCCGTCTGCTTCGAACGTTGTGGCAACAGATTGGGGAAGACCCACATATGGGTGTGATGGTCAGGTGTCTACAAACATTCAGCCATATAGTGTGTTTAATTGCTTACAGCAGAAACTGAACAAAAACCCACTTTCTAAAAATAACAGGTTCTACAAAGACTTTTTTGTTGTGTATGCGTGCGTATGAAAGAATAAGAGAGAGACTTGTTTACCCATGGTCACTCTGGGCAGGAGTTGGAGAAGTTGAAAAGGGAATCATCATCTGGGCTGGACAGGTCCAAGATGGGGGTGGAGCCAAACTGTTCCATAGAAGAAGTGGAAACGGCCGGAAGAGAGAAACTGGAGCACACACTACATACGGTAACTGGACACACACACACTTGTGTCCACGCAAAAAGTGAAATCTTTGTTAATTAATTTTTAGGCTGGAGCTACATGACTAGCATTTGCTATGAAGTTAAGAAACCGCAAATTAACATCATGCTGACTGTACAGTGAACTGATTCAAATTTGCCTGCTAAAGCAATCACTTTCATTGTTTACAGATAACAATATGTTATACTGTGTGTGTGTGTGTGTGTATAGGCTCTGAGTTTTGCTAAACAGTTGGAGCAGCTTTGTCAACATTTCCATAGAAGCAAGCCGAAAGATGGCACACAGGAAGCGACGCATTCACTCATCAACTGCCTGCTTCTGGTGGAAAAGCAGCTGAACGACATTCATTCCAATATCATTCAGGTTTGGAGGATGGCACATGCATGCGTGCATACACACACACACACACACACACACACACACACAGAGTAAACATGCTTTAATTAACACCATAAAACCATAATAGATATACAGACTGAGATGCAGATGTTTTTGATAGGTGGCATAAATTAATTAATCTAATACATACAAAGACAGACAGACAACATCGAAAATAGACTTGACCTTTAAATCTCTATTTTCTCTCGCTCTCCCCACCAGACACTATGGGACAGACAGCAGTGGTGGGAGGAGTTATCTGGTTGGTTAAGAATTAGGACTGTCTTAATGAGGCAGGAGGCAGAGCTTATAATACAGCTCACCAGCCAGTCAGTGGAGGAGCTGACGGCTGACGGACAGCTGGAGTTTGATCACATGGAGAAGCTGATTGGTGATCTGCAGAGCGTGATTAGTAATGAGCTGCAGCGCTGCACTGAACGTATGTATTACACACATCAAACTGTACACACACACTGTATTCAACACACTTAAACAGTAAAATATAACACACTGTTTTAATACATCTACTTCATGAACTCAACATCACCATTGTGTGTGCGTGTGTGTGTGTAGAGGTCACAGATCACACTCTGCAGCTGGTCAGTGATCACTGTAGGAAGATCGATGTAAAGTTAAGGAAGATGATGAAGGCTCAGAACAGAGAGAGTCACATGATCCAATCAAATGATCATCAAGATGCTCAGCAGGTTGCCAAGGTAACACACCTGCGTACCACGTGCAACTGTATATCTGTAATTGGACATGACTAACTCCTCCTACTGTCTGTAGTCAAACATGACTAGCTCTTTCTAAATATGATGTAATTAACTGTGTGTGAAGATGCGGTTGGACATGGCAAAGCCCCTCCCACTGACAGTGTCATTATTTGTCTATCAGCTGCTGGCAGAGCTGAAGTTAAAACACTGGACGCAGAGACAAGAGTTTGAGCTACAGCAGGACAGGAGAGTGTCCGATGCTGTGTGTGACCTGTGGAAGGTGGGTGCTGGTCTGAATGTCTGACTTAATCCTCTAACCTTAAAACATCCAAATAAAATTTAAAGTGTGTGTGAGATATTTTTTTTGTTTTCTTTTGGGGTTTTTTCCAGAAATTGTTTTGTAATTTTTCGGAAAGTGTCCAAATGTTGTGGCGAGAATGTGTTGTGAGCGTGCTTACTACAAGCTCCGCCCTTTCTGAGGACCACAACTGCACACTTCTGAACAGCATGGAGCTTAATTGGACCAATCAGATGCTGAAGAAGGAGAGCCACGCCCACCAGCAGCTGCAGATGCTCAGAGAGCAGCTAGAGCAAAGCAAACAGGTGTGTTGAAGTGTGTGTGTGTGTGTGGTCTCTCTCGGTTTAAATTGATTTCTCTCTTTATCTTTGCAGATTTGGGCCGAACAGGAAGCATTAGCTGCTGCTGCTCTTAATCACCTAGGCAACCAGAATATGAAGGTTACTCTAGCAGTGATTACCAGGCAGAAAGACATAAAGGACAGGTGAGAGGTGACGTGTTCCTTTAACCCCACCCATACTTGGATCTGTCCTTCAGCTCCTCCTTTTTAATAATCTGATGTTTAGCTCCACCCCTCTTTCCGTATGCTATCCTTTAGCCCCACCTCTTATTCTATATTGTCATTTAGTTAGGCACCTTCTTTAATAGTCTTTGCTTAAACCTCACCTGATTTGTTCAAGATTTTCCTTACCAGTCCATACAGGATTTTGTTTTTATTTTATTTTATTGTTGCAGCCAAGAATGCTTGATTTGTGAGATTTTTATGCTTTTTTTGAATTGGTGATATTGTGAAAATTGTTTTGCAAGTGATGTTTGTTGGTGAATTAGCTGTACTCATGTTCAACACGTGAATCTAAGAGGGATTTGGATGAATGCACGTTGTGATGATGTCTCATGGCGCATCTTGTCCCAAATCTGCGGTAATGTTGAAAAATTGGAAGCTCCTGCGAATATTGCAGTTTCCTTGATTTAGCATTCATTTCTGTGATCGCAAAATCCTGGACTGACTGCCTTACTCGGTCATGTTGAATACTCGCGGGTCTCCCAAGTGGCGCAACAGAAAAGTGTTTGCCAGTTTTGGTGATTGGCCAGCTCCTGCTCTTTTTACTCTCAGCCACAGATGATCGAAATCATGATCTCCTGATGATGCCAAAGTCTGTGGTTGGAAGCCAAGGAAGCAAAATTGGCCAAGCTCTCAGGGTGGAAGGGGGGTTCCTCTCAAACATAGCGACACTAACCAAACGTAGGCATCCGTGAGCTTCTTTATGCAGAACAGAGCAGACAGCATTTTCCTTTGAGTCTGTTACGCTGCCCTGAGACTTAGCATGAGCAGCAAGTGGAAAAGGACACAGTTGACCATTGGAAAGACCAAATTGGGAAGAATATCTCATCCCTAGCTAAACCCTTGATCATTTTCCTGTCAATTTGCCTGCCTCCTCTATATATTGTAATTTAGCCCCACCCATCACCGCCTTCTACTGATGAGGCGTGTTCACATGGTCTTTTGAATGGGGGATCTGACACCTGCGATTAGTTTCCACATCATCTTTTTTTCCCCAATGTGAACAACTGAGGTGGCATGGCTTACCTTTGGTTAACTCTTATTTGTTAAAGAAATCAGAGATGGGGATTTGAGTTATGGACCAAATTCAGTGTATCCTACATAGGGTCATGGGGGAGCCTGGAGCCTATCCCAGGGAACACGCACTACAAACTATTTAGAGATGCCAGTCAGTCTACAGTGCATGTCTTTGGCCTAGGGGAGGAAACCAGAGTACCCAGAGGAAACCCCTGAAGCATGGCGAAAACATGCAAGCTCCACGCACACAGGACAGAGGCGGGATTCAAACCCCCAATCCTGGGGTGCAAGGCAAGCATGCTAACCCCTAAGGCACCATGCCCCATGAGTGCCAAAATAATGCAGTAAATAAATATTACAATACCATATCTTGTATAAAAACATTCTTTAACAATCCTTATTTTTGCATCATTGCCCTTATTATTTTTTATTAATTTTGCTTTTTCATCATTAAAACTTTAGTTTACTGAGCTGCTGTTTGTTTTTCTGTCAGTGTTGCGATGATTGAGGGAAAACAGCGCCTCCTGCTGTCAGACCTCCAGCACCACTTAACAACTCAACACTTCTACAACACAGCACAGAGAGCGATGACGACTGCACAGCTCTCACACACAGACACACAGGTACATGTGCATACTAAAACGGTTACACTCACTTACACGTAGAACTGCATGATTATGGCCAAAATGATAATCCCGATTATGTTGATCAATATTGACATCTTGATTATTTATTGCACTTTCACGTTTATTCAGTTTTCTCATGCCACAATATAACACACATGGGCATGAGAAATCTTGAGCTGTTATGACAGAATTTAGGAACCTAGTGTGAGCCATGACAAATTAATTTACCTTCTGATTAACTACATTTTTTTTTCAGTTAATTGTACAGACTGTATGCAAAAAACAACCGTTAACCTGTTCCATCTTGTAAACAAATACACTAAACATCAGTGTTCAGTGTTTGAAGTCTGCACCTCTTAAATATATTTAAAGCTACACTATTAGACATTTTCCACTGTCTGGGCTGGAGTCAGTTCTCGGTCCGCTCTGTGTATATTGTGTATATATCTGAATAATCTCATATAGGATGTGATTGGGTGAGTTCATTTACCTGTCAGATGTAAAGCACTTTAATTTAATATTGTTCATTACTGCTGCTCCGATCAGGATTTTACGACTGAAACCCATCCAGATACCAATCTTTTTATGTTTAAACTTTAATCAGGTGGTCGGTCATAAACAGTTAAATGTAAGCTCTCTGCTCATTGTCACTGTTAATTGAGTTAAAATAATAGCAATGAGATACTGTTGGTTAATTGATAAATAAACAATCATTAAAATTTTTATTTTTAAATATCTTAAACAATAAAAAGCCCTAATTAAAGTAGACTAACACAAACATTATTCATATTAGGAAAATGGCTAATAGCCTTCTAAGGAAATAGCGAACTAAGCTTAATGTCTATCTATCTAATAATATCTATTTTTTTATATTAAATTATTTATTTATAACTAAGCACATTTTCTGTCTTTATATTTTAGTAGTTTTATTTTTGTTTATCAGTTTTAGTTCCCCAGTACAGTGTCAATGTCTGCTGATAATATTGTGTTTTGGGGGGATTAAATCAAAACATGGAAACTGGAGTTGACTTTACTAGTGATATGTGGCAACCGTGAGTTTAAATGATGTGGATTAGAGTTGGTGAAGGAGAGCGGCAGCGTACTGTATGTTTACAGACTGAACAGTTGCTAGTCTTTATTTAAAAAATTCCCCACCAATCATAATCAAGAAGTTTGAAACAAACCCACCTTGTAGCGTTAGCATAATTATTAATATTACCCCGACCAAAGCCGCTGTGTCTACACGAGCAGGTGCAAGTTCAGGTCATTGTGCGGGATCAATAAAAGATGGCGGTTTGTGAGATCGGGAAGTTGAAGCAGATGTTCGTTGTTACTCCTCAGCATAATGGCTTCTTTGCAGTATTTCCACACTTGTTCGGTTGACTGAGGAGATGAAAAGCAGTGTGAAATTAACTGTTGCTCGGTGTAGATGCATTTTGGACTTCCTGTAGTTTTTATCACAATTGTATTATACAACTCTGAACAGGTCACTCGTACCGGTGCGAAGAAATATTTATTCAGTCACACAAAATACTTTTTAGTCACAGATGCGAGTGAAATGGTCGCACTGTAGAGCCCTGAGTTTATCTGCAAAGTTTTTTTTCCCGTTCACGTGATGACGTTTAACGTCCCCTACAACCTTTGTAGTGCCATTTAGCATCATGTTAATTTCATGATTTCTCCTTGTGCAAAGCGCTGGAGCTCGAAGCGTCATCCCTCCACTGCTCTATGGTGATTGGCTGCAAGTGTAGGAAGTACTTGATTTGATCTGTAGTGGAGTTTTCTATTAGCGGAGGGCAAACTTTAAACGTTAATATCGCAGTCAATCATGATCATGTAATTGTGGACAGTCAAAATCGTAATCACGATCGATATTCAATTAATTGTGCAGCCCTACTTACACACTTGATATACATACTGACTTGTGCTGCTCTGTGAATGAACAGAACCTCCAGCAGGAGCTACTCTCAGACCTTGAAACAGCCTCTGAGCTCCTCCAAAGCCATGCCAAGTTTCTGATTGGCCACGCCCTCGCCCATAACGTTCGACTGCGATTGGTCACTTTAGTACCATCTGACAAGACAGCAGTCGATCATCTACAGAAGGTGAGCCAGCAGTAAGATAAATGAAAGCATCTTTATAATAATAATTGTGATTTTATATATATATATATATATATATATATATATATATATATATATATATATATATATATATATATATATATATATATATATATATAAAATTGAGTATTGTGATAAATATTTATGTAAATGATTTATGTGAACCATGTGGTTCAACCTGCTGTATCATTAACAACTTTATTGCACAGCGCTGATGAATTCTCTACTCTGGTTGGGCAGAAAGGAACAAATTTTATGTTACTGCGTTAGTATTGATATGTTATAATTTCTATAGTAATAACTCTGCCTCGCTCTGAAGCTATTCTCTTTCTGTCTCTGTATATATTCTTGTCTCTTTTTAGGGGCCAAGTACCACTGATGCAAGGCAACTATTGTTTTTCTATAGATTCTTCTTCTTCTTCTGGCTAGGGTGTATATGACTGCCCATGGAACGGTGTTTTAAAAAGTTGTGAAATTTGGCGCATAGCTTCAGTTCAGATTCAGCTACAAATACACCAAATCTAGGTTCCAAGTTCCCAAAGCTGGTGAAACAGGTGAAATTTTGGCCAAATTTCAAAGTATGTTTATGCCCATAACTTTTGAACCACATTGCCAAAGGTTCAATGCCAGGTGTCCATAGATTCCTTGAATCATGCTGAGTTAAATGGCCCCTATGATTTTCTGCCTAATTGCATTTTCGGCCATCTTGGATTTTGTTAAAAACTTTTCGCCACTCCTCCTTCAAATTATGTCCAAATGTGGTTCATAACATTTTCAGACCAATCTGCAACAAAAGTTATGGTATGGAATTTAGATTTTTGAAACCATTCGCTTGTAACAAGCCAACAAATCTGGCGATGAAGTCGCCAATCAGGAAGTGACGCTGTGTCTCATTAATGACTATATGCATTGTCATGAAACTTGGGACCTGTCTTCAGGACTATGACCTGAGGCTACACAACATATTTCATGACAGCGCCGCCTAGAGGTCAAAAGTTACAATGACATGTAGGAAATGCTTGAATCTAATGTGTTTTCACTACTCCTCCTACAAATTACACCCAAAAATCATCAAATTTGGATCATATCATCTGAAAATCAGTGTGCACAATTGTATGTAAATGCTGCTTGCAGCTTTAATTTCTTTCTGTCTTTACAGGAGCAGCTGATGAAGGCACTTGGTGACAATGTGTGTGTATCGCGTGACTCTCTTTCCACTCTCATAATGAACTACTGCTCTCACCTTCAAACAGTCATCACGGCAACGCAACTCCGCCCACCACAACAACACTCGCGTATGCATCAATCATATGCATCATACACATATCTCTACAAAAGCTAACTGTGTTTCAGAAGGTTATATGTAGTGTGTGTGTGTGTGTGTGTGTGTGCACAGAGTTGAGAGAGAGATGGCAGAAAACAGCAGAGTGTGTGAGATCTCTCCAAAGGGAGCTCAACCACTGGGCTAGAAAACCGCACTCAGCCGAGTTCTACAGGAGGTACACACATCCCCAGACATACTCACATTGTATAGGTTTAGGTTTGGAGGGGGTTTAGGGAGGGGAGCTCATTTGGAGGCATGTGAATTGTCTTCCTGAATCACATCTGCTCCACAAAACCTAGTGTTTGCTTTATCTGCGATTGAAATGGAGGGGGGGAAGGAAAATATGTGTGTGTGTGTGTGTGTGTGTTCAGAGTTGAGCAGCAGAAGCAACGTTTTCTCGCTCACTGTGCAGAGGAGTGTGTGTGTGACCAAGTGGACCTGCAGCACCAAACACAAAACATCAGTCAGGAGCTTCAGGTGAGTTCACACACACACACACACACACACACACACAGCATACTGACTTAAAGATTGACTGAAATCTTTATCAGATCAGCAGAATGTTCTCAATATTTGCATAAATTGGTACACCATGCTAAGAAAGATGACGACGTGTTTAGAAAGAAGAGGAGAGTTTCCTGTCTCGACTGGCAGCTCTAACAAGAGTTCCTGTGACAAACACACAAAGAAAAGACATGCAGGTCAGACACACACACATGCACCTACGCACCAACCTGTGTGTTGTTTGTTCATGAAGGGTGTTGTATTACTTTGGGTGTATGTGTATAGGCACAGAGCAGAGTGTAGTGGCACTGAAGTGCAGAGAAAACCATCTGTACTCCACACTGCCTGCTGCAGGTGATCCACCCATTCCCCTACCACACACACATTCATATTTGCCTACGTTTGTCTCTCTCTGTTTCTCAGCCATTCATTTTTGCTCCATTAGTCCATCTAACGTTTGCTTTTTGCCTCTGTCTCATTTGCTAACGGTCTCCCTATCATTACCTTTCTGTCTCTCAACAGACCAATAAACAGTAAGGCCCAACAAGAGATGCTGCAGTTTTGACCTGTGTTTGAACATTTTTTTTAATAAAAGCTTTTTTGAAAAATACATTGTTTTTGTCTCTTATATTACACGCACACACAAAATTACCTGTAAGTTCCAGAACCCTAAAAAAAATTGCTGCTTTTAATGATCTCGAAGCACATGATTAAAACGAGTGTTGATATGTGATGTTTCTGTGAG